TCCCCCCTTGCTGTACATATAAAAACAAGAACATTTAAACACAATAAACAGTTGTTAAAACATTAAGATCAGTAAAAAATAATAAAAACAGTGCAGAGCAAAATTCAGTCTGTGCTAAAAGCCAGGGAGTAAAAATGTGTTTTTAAAAGAGTGTTAAAAACTAAAAGGAGAAAAAAAGACGACAACTCAGCTATTTTGAACGATGTTGAGCTGGAATGTGATAGTTGTAGTTGAGAGCGAACCCAAACACAAAGTATTGTCAAATCAAATTTTTTAAATGGACAGAAATTGGTGGTCCCCGTCAAAGCAGAAACGTTCTAATAACATTTATTTTTTCTTGTTTTTATAGTTGCTATAATAATAAAAATAATAATTATGCATTTATTTAAATTGTTTTTATATCAAAGGCCAGCTCCTGCAGAGTCTGTTCACTAAAACCTCTTTTCCTCGTACTCTGAAGAGTCTTTATTTATTTTTGAGTTCGTGTACAAAACGTGTCTCCACCTCCTCCTCTTCCAGGCTGGAGAAGGCTCAGGAGGAGAACAGAACGGTGGCCGTGGAGAAGGAAAACCTGGAGCAGAAGATGAGGGACGAGATCATCGATGCCAAAAAGGAGGCCTACAGGCTGCGGGAGCTGCGAGAGGGCGCCGAGTGCGAGCTCAGCCGGCTCAAATACGCAGAGGAGGAGCTTGTGCAGGTAGACCCGTGGGTTGTACCGCCTACATGCTTCCAACAAAGTGGGAATTTAAAGTGTTACAAACTGAATCCTGCTTAGGCTGTTGTAGAAATCACTTACAGTTTGGCAGAGTATTGTGACATGTCATATCTCCTGATGGAAGGGCGATTCAGTCTGTTGGTCATTATGATAAAGATCCGTGGTTCCCAACCGTGGTCCTTGAGGAACACCATCCTGGATGTTTCCGTTGTTTCCCTGCTCCAAAACGCCTGATTCAGTGATTTAATGACTTCAGGTTCTGCAGAAGTTAATAAGCAGGGAAACAAATAAAACATGCAGGATGGTGTTCCTCAGGGACCACAGTTGGGAACTGCTGATTTAGATGTATGAAGACATGTTTTTGATAAAACTATGGTCAAATAAATTGAGAAAAAAATATACACAGAAATATAGAGTTCAAATCTTGAAAAAGAGGGAAACAAGCTTGGATTTTAGACGAAGCTGGATATGAATGTAAATGTGGCAGAAACTTTTTTTTACTACAATTTTTATTTCATCCATCAAATGTCTCCAGATCTAACTCATGATTCGCCTTCACTATAAATCCAGAGTTTGTTTTTGCCTTTCACAATAAAGTCATTTTTACTCATTTCTGAGTTTAATCAGTCGAAACAGCTTTTTAGTCCTTTAGTAGACGTTTCGCTTCCTGCAGGATGTTTGATACCATACCATACCACTTTATTTATAAAGCACTTAAAACAGCTACAAGGCCAACCAAAGTGCTGTGAACGGTTTGATTCGTCGAGTCTGTGCGGAGCGTTTCAAATCATTTTTTAAGTGAGTCCTGTTTCCTGTGTAGGTGAGGAAGGCTCTGAAGCGAGCGGAGAAGGAGATGCAGTCGGAGCGCTCGATGCCTGAAGCTCTGCAGAAGTGGCTGCAGCTCACACATGAAGTGGAGGTTCAGTACTACAACATCAAGAAACAGAGCGCCGAGTTCCAGCTCTGCGTCGCCAAAGACGAGGTGACTTCCTGTCCTCGGGATTCTCCTTGTAAACATACGCTTTAATTTGCCGTCCTGCAAACGTGGAACGCACAAAATAAGTGGTGTTGCTGACATGGCGGTATTTGTGTTGCACGTTTGTTTTATGTTTTTTTTTTTTTTTTACATAAACAGTTTGAAGTAAAGAAATTAATCAAAATATGGATAACGGTGCAGCAGTCAGGAGTGGCAACCCTTGACTATATCGGTGTTTCCTTTACTTGACTTGCCTCGGCAGGGCGCTCATCTCTTCTGTGACGGCGTGTGTGTGTAAGAGACGGAGACACATCGGTGTTGTGCGCTATTTGTATCGACAGTTTTCAGACGGAGGGAAACGGAACGTTACCGCTGGCTTTTTAGCTAGCACGTCTGTACTGTGCACCGCTAGCTTAGCGCTACATCCGAGCCGGCAGTTGCCGTGGTAGCAGGGGTGGGGCGCTCTGTTCTGTTGACAGGACAACAATTCGATATCGATATATGTCGCAATATAGTTTTATTCAGTAACGATGTTATGAGTTTTAAGCACATTTTCGATATTTCGATAAGATTACAGCGTTTCACTGACGCACTTCTTTTTCTGTTTGGGTTGAAGCAGTCGCTTCAGTTTCAACCTGGACAGAAAAAGGTGCGACACAACTACGTAAGTGCGTGGTGACGTAGATGTTACGCAGAGCTCGAGTTCAGAAGGCGTTAGCGGTAGCAGGCTAGGCTAATCTCGATCAGAGAGTCAAGAGTTAGAGATTAACAAAAAGTCAGTGTAAAGTCTGATATTGTATTATACAGTAAGAGTCCTGCGACGATCCATTTCAACGCCCTGAACTTAAAAAGCAAAACAAACGGATGATGTCATTTACAACTCAGCTGTTGAGACTAAATAACTTGTTTTTCTTCTTCTCGTTTCAGGCAGAGAAAATCAAGAAGAAAAGAGGTTCTGTGTTCGGAACGCTTCACGTCGCCCACAGTTCTTCTCTGGACGAGGTGGACCACAAGATCCTAGAAGCAAAGTAAGAAAAGCTCGCGCAGTATCGCAGCTGAACTTCCTTTGTACGTGAGCTGAAACATCAAATGCGTCCAATTAGTGGAGTTAAAGGAATATTTCAGATTTTTTAAGTGAGATTTTGTGGAAAGGTTATAAACAAATATCTTACTTTTTCTCGAGTGGGGAGTTCACGTTTATATTGCCCGCCTGCTAGCTTAGCGCTACGTTGCTGCTGTTTTTTATCGACGACGGTGGAGAGGGGGGTGAACTTTATTTATACTTTTTTAAATGCAAGTGAGGCCCAAAGTGATGAACAAAGCATAAAAACAAATAGGTATTTAAATAAGATTGTTTAAAATTGATTCAAGATCAAATAAAACGATATGTACACATTAATACACGCGTACATCAGTGGTGAATAAGAGCTGGGCCTTCCGCTAGGATGGAACATTGTTTGTCTAAAGCACTACGAAGTCACGATCCAAATATGTCGCTTTGCTTCACAAATCAGAAACTTGCTGAACAGTTTTTTCCCCATTTTTATTCATCAGATACGACGTCTGTCTTACTGTGTCATTTATTTTACCGTCACTAACAACAACACAACACTAAACGGAACGACCAACAGGGACAACCCGTCTGAACACACAACCTGAAAACGTCCACCCATTTCTGTGCCATGATTACCCAGCAGCCCCTGCTGCTCATGCATTCTCTCGCATTCAAGTCCAACATGTAATTTCACTCGGCCGACTTTTAAAATGAACCCACTGAACTTAGTTTCTGTAAAATTTCATCATGTAATGAACCCAAAATACAACTAATGTTGAAAAGTATCAATGTAAGATGATATTTAACCTTCATTTGTTTATAGAGCAATTACTATTTCAGTGCAGATTTTTTAAATTTACTGGTTGCACTTGAATGCATCACAAATCTTCAAATGGTAAAAAAAAAAAAAAAAAGGCTACAGGGGATTCCCGAAGGCTCAGAGCAGCGTGCTTGTGTCCCACCCACTCTGCAGCAACATTGTGATTGGTTCATTTTCCTGCCAGTTATTAAGCTCATGCTGCAGAGCCTCTGACTGAGTTCAGCCTTCTCTGCCAACGGTGAAGTCCTAACCAATGAGAGAATCTTCAAACATGATGCTGCCTGGAGACAAATATTTAAAATAATCTGATTGAATAACTATATTTTCTTGAGTAGCTTAACAAAAAGAAAAACTATGTAGAAAATATATTTTATATAAATTAAATATTACATACGAATTTCAATGTTACATTTCGTAGTTGTTGAATTTATGAGCCTTCTCTGAAGGTGTAGAAGGCTCAGGGTTCCCCACCAACATACTGTATTTTTCAGCCTATAAGTCACACTTTTTTGCATAATTTGCATGCCCTGCGACTTATTTATGTTTTTTTCCATATTTATAATTTATTTTTTGGCTGAGATATGACCATTTTCATTCATTCTGACTGAAAATATTGAACACTTAACATTTTCAACCACTAGATGGCACTCGAGTAATATGGCATGCTGTTGTGTCATGTAATGGGTAAAAGTGGCTATTAATTACACAGTCAGCTTGCCGTAGACTGCCACCTTCATCCAGCTCTGGGATCACGCATGGAGCAACCGTCAAATCAGCTTCATTTCGCTGCGTTGCTCCGGCGAAACGCAGCTAATTTGACCATTGAAGTGCATTTATTAAGTAAAAGTTCAACTACGACACACTTTTGCTATAAAATCGAGCAAACAAATAATTGTTTTTAAGTGTTAATCTTGTTAAATTCTTGTTAAAGTCCTCCCCTGCACACTCCCGCGGCCGCCATTTGGCAGCTAATTGATTTTTGCCACAACATCGGCTCATATTTCCGTGTTGTCAGTGGTGACGCGTGATAGATGCGACTTATACAGCGAAGCGACATTTTTATGTTTTTTTCCCACTTTATTAGACATATGTATTTGGACTGATGCAACTTATAGGGTGGTGTGACATGTATGGCAGAAAATACATGTACTTGCATATATTATTAATATAATAATGAAGGAGTGGTAAAAACACACAAACATATTAAAAGTAAGCAAAGTACCAAAGGAATGAAAATTCAAGGACCAAAAGGTTTAGAATAAAAATGATAACATTATCATGCAAATGCATAAATGTACCCACCCACAGGTAACGAAGTAAAATAAAGCAGTTTTTAAAATCGTGTTTACTTGAACCGCTGCGTTGTTTCAAACTCAAACTAACCGTCAGCTCATCATTTCCATCCAAACGAGACGGTTTTTACAAACTGAAGTCGTTCAAAGAGCTCTCTCCCACAACACTTCACTTCAACAGACGTGAACTATCACTTGCACCACGTCTGTACCGCTCGCACGACAAATGAATATAAACTTACTGAATATATATTTATATATATATATAGTTTATTTATTTATTTTAAATCTGACGTCTATTTCGCCATGCGAGCTACTCAAATTGCCTTTACGATCGACCGATAGATCGCAATTAACGTACTGGGCACCCCAGTTTTGGAGTGACCAGTTGATCCAGATTGCCCCCCCCAGTAATTCAATGGTCTGTTTTGTAGGAAGGCTCTGTCGGAGGTGACGGCCTGCCTGAGGGAGCGGCTCCACCGCTGGCAACAGATCGAGAAGCTCTGCGGTTTCCCCGTCGTCAACAACTCGGGTCTGCCGAGCCTGACGGCCAGCCTCTACTCAGACCACAGCTGGGTGGTCATGCCCCGAGTCTCGGTCCCCCCCTACCCCATCGCAGGTGGAGTGGACGACCTGGACGAGGACACGCCCCCCATCATTCCTCAGTTCACTTGTGAGTCAAAAACAGAGGATTTTCACACGTGAGTCGGGGGAAACCCCCAACATTTATAAGTCTCTTATTTTTCCAGCTTCGACGATGATCCGGCCCCCACTGACCCGCAGCAGCAGCCTGTGTCGGTCCCGTCGGAGCCTGCTGAGCTCCCAACAGTCCTCTCTGATGTCTCCAGACCCAGACCTGCTGTCCATGGCCGGCTCGTCCCTCTCCTATCGCTCCGAGGCAGACGATGAACACGTCATGTTCACTATGGACAGGAGGGGGTACGTACTCTACATCACGCGCGTCCTCCGGTGATCAGATCAGATTTCTGTCCAGACGTGACCAACGTGTCTCTGTAGGTCCAGAAAGAAGGAGGAGCCTGGGTTAGATGCTGCAATAGTTTCTTCTGAGATGTAAACGGGTTCGGTGGGTTCTGTGCAGTTCTCTGCATCTGCTGGGCGCCGAAGTCACTGTAATGAGTGCCCAACTTTTTCCCATCACATCAAAACTTTACCTCTACGTATTTGGAAACGGGGTTTCAGGGAAATGTAGTCATGAGTTGGAATACAGAGTAGGCTTATTGAGAGAAAACTACAAAATGGCGGTGCCTGTCCGGTATTTTATTTTTTCGTTAACTCTTTACTGAACTGTATCTAGTACTGTCCTGATCATCGTGAGCAATATTAAAGTTGACAATCATGTGTCCTGTACAAGTTTTTTTCTTGCTGAGTGATCCAGGAGTGGGCAGATCGGGTGCAGTCGTGGATGACACCCAGACTCTAACCCAATGTCAGTGTAGAAATTATTAATCTTGGACAGGGTGGGTTTGGTGCCAACAAGTAAGATTTCAGTTTAGTACACTGATATCGATGTAACGATAAGTTTTAGTTTCCTGTTTTTGTGTGTTATTTCTGTGGACATTAGTGTCATACATGTCAAGTTTGACACAAGATTAATGTTTGTTTGTTTTTAAAGTTTGACCGGGTCTGTTTGGTCTTGTCCTTCAGAGAACCGGCTCAGGATGGCAGCTCCGACTCCGACTCTCTCAACTCGTCCTTCAGCCGCAAGCCGCCGCCCGGCCCCTGCACGCCCGGCCCGGAGACCCCGTACCGCAAGATCTCCCGCGAGGAGCTGCTGCTGTTCGGCCAGACTCCGGAGCGCCCCGGCTCCACCCACACCAGCAGCAGCAGCAGCAGCAGTCTCAGGGACTCCACGCCACCCCCCATGCCTCCCACGCCGGCCGCCACCCCCTCCGGGCCCCCCTCCACCTCCCCTTCCCCAGCCCTGGAGCACCGCCCGTTTGCACGGAGCGGCTCGCCCGACCTCACCCGCGTCTCACCCGAGTCCCAGATTGTGCCCCTCCCACCAGGCAGCGCGCCGTCCCCGACAGGAAAGGGCGTGTACAACGGCGTCCTGGAGAAGTCCTACAGCTTCGGCCAGCTGCCGGCGAGCATGCTGCCCAGCGCGGGGCGCCAACCATCGCTCACCTCGCTGGACTCGGAGGGTCGGAGCTTGGGGAGGGATCACAAGCTCCAGAGCACCCCCTCCCAGGACTCCTGCGACAACGGAGAGAAACTCAAGCGCTCCTCGTCTAAAATCAAAAACTTATTTAAGAAGAAGAAATGAAACGTGTGTGTGTGTGACTGACAGGAAGAGAGAAAACTAAAATAATAAGAGTTTTACCGCTGGTGTGGCACTGTACGATAAAACATTTCATTTTCTCTCTTTTCGTCAAAGATGGAATGTAGCTCGGTCTGGGTGCTGTGAAACGCTCCGCAGGCTCGAAGCCTTATTTTTCAACAATCCTTTTTTTTTTCTTTTTAGTTTTTAGCTCACAGGGAAACGTGCACAGGCCGAGGAGGAACGCTCGTGCGCACCGTCAGTTCGGTTTGAGCTGAAACCAAAACAAACAGACTAAACGAGTCTAAAGGTGCAGTCCGCACGTTTTAGCTCGCCGCGCGCAACGTGGTAGCGTTTCACTGACGGCGTGCACCGAGGGTTGGGTTTGTCGTGACGGAGTAACGCACGGCGGAAAAGGTCGAACCGGTTTTAACCTGCGGCGAGTTCTGAACTCTCGCACTTGACTCATTTTCTTTCAGAGAAAGTAAAAAGAATCCTGCTAAAAGTTTGTTGCACTGCTGCTTTCTGGGTATTTTGGGAAAGAGCTGAGACGATGCGAGGAAAACTCAGCAGAGCCTAAAGTGTCTCAGCGCCACTGTATGGATGCCTCTATATATAAATACATATATATATATATATATATAACTGTTAACACGATATGTTCTCATAGATTATTTTACTATTTTATTTTAAAGCTTCTTCTGCAGACTGAACCCACGACAGACACTTTATCTTTTTTTTTTTGTTGCTCGTTATTACTTGATTAACTGCATCCTGTAGCCGTACGGTAACAAAACACCATTTCCCCGTTTTGTCTCTTCGGTAAACTTGGTGGCGCCGTAAGGATTCGGTCAACGCGGCTTCGCTTTGCTACGTTGGTGCGTGCAGCTCAATCATCTTTCGTACGGACGCGTCATTTCCAGGAAGTCCTGATGAAATGTTTGTAACCAAAGGGCGTGCTCCCCGGCCTTCTGAGGACAAACGGTTAAAGTGGCGCTTTTTTGATTCGGATCTGAACGATGCACCAAGACCTGCCTCCGTCCCCGTCCCCCCCACTAAGCTCGATGCCGACCCACGCCACTCGTGGGCCCGCTCCGAGCGCACTGATGTCAAAGAGCTTCTTCACTGTGATTTCTGGCTGCCTCCTCTCATCCCGGACCCGACTGTCAGCACCGCTGCCGTGCGACGACGTGGCGGCGACACAACGCAGCGTCGAGAGGCTGATGACATGACGACCTGAGGACCCAGCAGCCGCTTTAAAATAAAAAAAATACAATACTTGCAGAAGGTTGCTGACAATGCAGCGCTCAATGAAGGAAACGCAAGACGGCGAGGTGAGGAGGTGGTGAATGTTTACGTCAAATGTAGAGGTTTTTCTGAGAACATTTTGTGTGTGAATATTTGTATACTGTAGAATAATTAATAAAAAATAAATAAATAACAGAAGCGTTTGAGATGTCTCCGAGTCGTGCTTGACGCAGTATTTGACACTTATGACTCATTTCCTTTTCACTGAATCAAAAATACATTTTAAATGGAAACGTGTGAAGTTGTAAAAGTAGACAAAAAATATATATAAAAACCCTCATTATAGGAAGTAATTATTTATTTATTTTTAGAAAATTTTATTCCAATCAGTTTAAACAAACACTGAAATACTCGTTCTCACCACTAGAGGGCAGGGATGTCCAAAACAATGCACCGCTATGAGATTCATGGCTGCCATTTTGCTAGGTGCTATGCGCCACACAATATTTTAGCATGCTGTATTCTGTCTAAATATATACAGAAATACACTTATTTTACTTAAACGTGGATATTGTAAAAATGAGGAAAACTTCCCAAGTCTGGCAAAACACCCGCTGCGCTACTGCTGTCTTAAGTATTTTAGTAATTAATGTGTACTTTGTCTAAACCAATTTCTGGTCCAAGTGAATTTACTGTTTTTCTCTTAGACGAATAACTGATTAATATAAGTAACTATAGCAGGCTAGTTTAGGAAGCTTGACGACCCTTGTAGCACCTACCAAAATGGCGACAAATTTTCATGGTCAGCAGCAACTTATTGGCCTCTCCAAACACTGAATGACTCCAGCGTTGTCAAGAAGATGTCCTGTGGGAGGACGAAGACTGAGGCTGTGCTCATCGATGTCCTGAGTCCAAATGCAACAGAAGAAGTGGTCCAAAAATTGAAAAGTGGAAGCAACCCACTCCCATTGTCTCTTCACATCGATGCCTCAAACAAGGTGAAGATGAACCATGCTTTATTAATGATAGTTCTATACTTATGGATACAATTGATGTATACAAATAAATACATAATCAAACTTATACTATACAAACATGCAAATTAAACAGTTTATATATGACATATTAAAGTAATTAAAAAAGTAGGATATGCGTTCCAATTTATTTACCACTGTACATGACCTATGTGCCTCTGGTGAACTCGGATCATAACTTTTCACAGCATGTCTGTGGACGAGCGTCATGAGGAACGTGTGACTGCAGAAGCTCAGGAGAAGGTGTCAGTCCAAGGGAACAGCAGAGGTGGATCAAGTTCTTCAGGCAGCTGACCTCCCCAACATCCAGCTGTTGTATCCTTTGTCCTCATTTCATCTTCCACTGGATTTGTGGGAATGATTTTCTCTCATGAATAATAAGTGGACTGATGCGCGAAACAAATGTTCTTCTGAACTAATTAGAAATGAGCTCATAGTCTAAATGATGAAACGTCTTGCTCAGAGTTTTACTCTGAAAAACAAACCACTCCTTACTGCGGCACGAGCTCAACACATACAAATGGAAGAAATGGGTTGACTCCACGCGATGGAGCATTGTCCTTTTGAGTTTACAAGTTATTTTTCTACTACACGTGGAAAGTCGTGGCTTTTGAAGCATTGTGTTTGTTTACAAATTTCCTGCAAAACTTTGTTTGCACTAAATGCATTAATACGCAAATGTTCGTATTGTTCTATGTTATTTAATAGCTAAACAGAAGAATGTTTTAAGAAAGATCAATTCTTTTCTATTTGCACTCAAAATAACTTGTTAAATTGTGCAATAATTAACGTTCTATGCATATTTTTATCATTCAAAAACATGCATCCAATTAAATTCAGGTTCATTTTAGAGCAAGAAAAGCAGCGGGGGAGGGGGGGGGTGAATAATGGGGTCGGCCTGCCCTGCCATGAGGTATCCCTTATTTATTTTTCAAGGATTTGGCAACCCTACATGCAGGTCTCGAGTTCGGGCCTGGGTTAGAAATGACAGCTCTAATAACCGGATGCTCTTCCTGATACAACCACCGAGCTACCACAGCCCTCTGTGTGGAGTAGAGAGCTGCTATCTAAGGTGGATAGTGGGGGGGTTGAGCGCCTTGCTCAAGGGCACAGATTGGGGCAAATGAGGGTGGAGGCAGGTGTGGGTGCTTCACCTTTCCACATTTTTTTTATGTTGTCGGTCTGGGGAGTTGAACAGACGACCTTCCAATTACAGGCCCACCTTCTCTAACCTCTGCGCCACCACTCCCCCAGAGTGATAACATAGTAATCGCAGTTAAAAAGTTAATTTAACACGTAAAGCACAAAATGCAGCGCTGGGCCATCAGAGCTGCTCTCAAAGATGACATCAAGCTCGGGGCAAAACTGATTTTTTTCTTCAGAACAGGCCACACCTCCAGGAAGTGGTTGTCATCAACGACCTATGGGAAGTCCCTATACTCATCATGTGACCAGCTCTCTGACAGCAGACCCTAATGTTTTAAACACTAGCTGAGAAAGGCAACACATCCATGTTGTAATAAAGTTATAAAATTACAAACGAAATGCATCAACGTAAGAAGAAATGTATTTCAGCACTTGCTTCTATTAGTATTTCTTTTTTTTTCTTTTACAATTACAAATTTTCATTTAAAAACTTAAAACTTCTTATTTGTAAAAAAAAATAAAAATAAAGTCATGTTTGTGTTTAATCTTTAAGGTCCCACTAATAAGTCAACATTAGAAACAGATCAGGTCTCACGATCCATAAATGAACAACCGTCATATTGTTCCGTTCATAAAATGACCCAAACAGAAACGAGTGGATCTTCACCCTGACACCCAGCTCAGTCGACAAGTTGCATCTGCTCCTTTCACCACACAAACCAGCTCTGAACCTCCTGAAACCCTCACAGCTGAACACCCAGCCGATTTGTCTCGGACTCAGGGAAAAAAAAAACGGGAAACACGGAGGAACGCGACGCCCGATTGTTTTATCAATATCAGGTGAACGTGAAACATGTCGATGGCTCATCCGTTTGGCTCTCCAGAAGAAGAGCAGGCTGCTTTGTGCACATCAACCTCCCCACCCAGGAGGAGCAGCTCCTGCAGCGGCCTCATGGTGTCAGCAGAGCATCAGGGACCACATCAGACTGCTGGGTGTTGGTACCTGCTGGAGAAAACCACCAGAACCAGACAGGTTCCTCTGGGAACCAGCTTGAAAACCGTCATAAAGCTGAAGAGTTGTTCTGTTACCAACTGATTTAAATATTTACTGCTCAGGCTTGAAGTTGGCATTTTCAAGTCAAACTGAAATCTTGTCTCCCCCGGCTAACACGCGAGGGGGAAAATTTACACTTAAAACTATAAATAACAGGTGAAAAAGAACCACTGCATAATAAAAAAAAAAAATCTGTGCGGGAATTATTAACAGGGTTCCCAGGATTTCATGGGAACTAAATTCCACGAGTTTTCCATAATTAAATCCTGAACCTCCAGGAGATGTTCCAGTGTCACGAAACACTCAGAACGTAAGGCGGCGTCTTTAGGGTTTCCAGCGACTCTGGACGTCACGGAAAACCTGGGAAATTAATTTCACATTTTCCAGACAGGGAAAACTCGGGGAATGTGAACTCTGATCTGCTGAATAAAAGATGATCCTTGAGGTTTTGACTTGTAAAAGGTATTAATGCAGGATTCTAGTGTCACTGAGTCCATGCTCTGCTTCTTCAACGTCCCGTATTTTCCAGACTCTAAGTCACACTTTTTTCATGGTTTGGCCAGTCCTGCGACTTATCGTCCCAAGCGACTTACTTATGTTTTCTCCCTATTCATGACGTAATATTTGACTCATGTTAAATGCTCATTCATACGGACATGAACCAAAGGGTAAACATTACCATTTAGAGTTGTGCGAGGGCCCTCTAGGCTTTTGACAACTATATGTTGTTCCTCTACTGCTACCCCACTCAAACATTCACTTAGAGACAACTGAGAAAAACTGAAGTAAAACGCCCCCGAAAG